GACTGAGTGAGATTGCTACTTGATCTGAGTTTTTAGTTGATAGGTAGTTGCTTTAAATGCTCATCACGTGCTAGAGTCATAGGAGTTGGTTTCAATTCCTGCATTTTCTGAGCAAAGTTTATTTTTTACTTAGGTCGATTTCTGCGTTTTCTGGGATTATTTATTATACTTGGCCTTGTATAAATCTTAGTAAGCTACTTTTTTTACGAGAATCGCTGCCGAAATTTCTACAAAACCAAGGAGTTAGTCACATTTTGTTTTTTCAAGGTTGAGCTTGTCTTACTTTTTGGCTTAGTAAAAATATGGAAAAAAAAAAATTCTAAAGGGAGTGTTGCCCAAAAATATGGAAAGGTTTTTTTTCAAGGAGTTACACAAAATTGGACCTTGAGAAATCAAAAGTCGCTTTAAGATTATGAAATTAGCTTTGCATAAATCTCGGATTAACATTTTTGTAAAGGGAGTGTTGCCAAAATTTTTACAAATCTAAAGAATTGGTTAAATTTTGTATTTGTTGAACTCATGTATTGCTTTTGAGTTCATATCTGACTGCGTAAATTTTGTCTTTGTTGAACTCAGGTATTGCTTTTGAGTTCATATCTGACTGAGTAAAAATATGAAAAGTCTTCTTTTCTAAAGGGAGTGCTACCCAAATTTTTACTGACTCAGGGAGTTGGACAAAATTCGACTTTCCAGAATTTGAGGTTATTTTTGTTTTATATTTGACTTAGTATAAATTATGAGAAGACACTTTTCCTACGGGAAGGGCTGCCGAAATTTTCACAGTTTAAAGTAATTAGAGGTGACAATTCTGGCGGTCCACCCTGAATAAGGGAGATGTTGCCATAGGTCTACCTTACGTTGGGTACTAGCTTAGAGGTAGGCCTAGGCTTAGTTTGTAGGAGGACTTTGGGTGAGAATGTGCTAAGGAACCTTATTCTCGATAGACTTATAGATTTAGTCTGGGATTGGTCTGTCTTGTGTTACAGGTCCTCTTGATCGCTTGATTCAAGATTTGGACTAGATTCAGTTTGATCCTACGAGGATCATCTTCTGTTATCACTGATAACAGGTCGGTTGTCGATTCGTCGGTCTACGACTCAACTCCAATTCATCCTCAATACTCAACCTAAAAGACTTTAGTCCTCGTGTGTTTTATTGTTTTATTAAGGTTTCCACCCGGAGTTTTATTGAATGGTCATTTAACAAAGGTACTGAGTATTTAATTATGGAAGGTTGGACAAAGGTTGGGGCTTGCATGGCTAAAGCGAGGGGTATTTGTATAGAGAATGGTCGAAGTTGACTCCGTGTAGTGTGTGGACATTTAGTTAACGCTTTGATGTGATTGCAGGTATGTTGTGTGATTCGGACTTTTGATTTAATTGCCTGCGATCACATACATATATATGGCTGTAAGGAGTCCCACCGTGATTGTAAGAAGTGATCGTCAAATACTTATTTCCCTTTTATTATTGTATGTTTTTTAAAGGTTTCTTAGTCAGACGTTGGTCCTGGGCCTGGATTCGAGGTTCTTATCCAGGACATCCCAGGTCATAGACTCTGCATGGAAGGGATCACCCCCCGCGCAGAGCCTATTTGCCCTGTCCACCGGGACACTCAGCCTAAAGGTCGGAGGTGCCGCGGAGTCCGCACGGCTGTTCCTTCAGCCGTGCAATATCGTGAAGAGGTAGAACCCCACGATACTTCGAGTTTGACACTTGAGTGTCATAAGAGGTACTCGAACCCACAAGAGACCGCTTGATTATGGACACTACATAGTACGCCATCATTGCGACTGCTTGCGTATGCCTGTATTGCGAGTCGATATGAGTTAGCCCTGCGGCCGCACAGTTTTTATACTAAGTCTCGCGCGCGTCGCATATCCGATTTCCGCATCGGAAAGTTATGGGATAGCTACTGAAGGGGCTAGGATTGTGTGTGTTGTTTTGTTTGTGTCGTTTTTGTATGTTTCTGTATGTGTTTTAATTTTTATGTCTTTAGAGTGGTGTGTGCGTGGTATGTGGGAAGCGTCCTAGTCGACCGACAACGGGGCGGGCTTGGGACGTCATCCCCCCAAGGCGTCGGTTCGCGTGCGGGTCCGATAGAGGCGTAAAACCGCGCGTACCCCCATGCTACAATGAACGAGAAACGCTCTCGGGTGGTCCACCTCTGCGATTGCAGCTGATTAGCTTTCGTATTGTGGACTGGTAGTTCGGTGGGGATACGCCCACCGAAGGGAGGTGACAACTCCCGTAAGGTGGAGGTAAGTCATGCCTCGTGTAGGCCCTATCCTGTCGTAGGGGCTCGTGAGAGGTATGGCTGGTGCACTCGGCCGGAGCGGCTTGTCGAAACTCCATGTGTATTCATGATGAAGAATAGACCAACTCCTGCGTGACGCGGCCGGGAGGGTCCCACCCCGCTTGTGCGGTTCCGGACCGATGTGCGTGACACGTGACGTCGTTGTCGAGGATAACGAAAGTCTGCCATTGTCCCTGGTGGAACGACATCCGGGTATGGTATTGAGATAGGCGTATAAGGAAAGACAGAGTACATGATGCCTTGACGGATTATCTATGATGGATTGACGTTATTAATGTAACAAGTTTTATTTTTTTATCTGATTGATTCTTTGAGTTAAAAGACCATGAGGGAAGTCCTATAATGGGAATGGACCCTACTAAGGTGGGCTCGAAAATAAAGAGACTAGGGTAGCACCTGTTAGATTTGGATTGTGAGGTAGTTATGTAGAAGGTTGATAGGTGTCATGTTGAAGTCAGGACGCTGAATGAAAGTTTTTTCCTCTTCTTAACAGAGAAATTTGAGTAAGAGATTCGGCCAAGATGTTGGGAGGAGTAGCTGATGGTATCGGGAAGGTTCTGACAATTAATGACTTGGTCGAAGCCCTGGACAAGCGAGAGAGGTTGCTGAGCAATGTTCCTAAAGTCAACACCTTCCATTTTAATGGTGAGCGAGTTTCAGAATGGTTGGAATTGGTGGAACAGAAACTGGTGGGGCTATCAGACTCGGTGAAGTTCCAACGCATTCTGAAATACGTACTCCTGGAATCTCGGAGGAAGCACAGTGTGATATCTTCCTGGGGCTGTTCACTGCCTCGGAAGCCTCGAAGTTAACAAGTCACGGAGGAGGAAGCGCAAAGCTCACCTAGGCCACAATCGACAAGGGGGTAGAAGAAGGGATTCTGGACTAGGTGGAACAGTATCAAATGCGCCAGCAAAGGCGAAAAAGGAAGGAGCGAGATGCGACCTCCTCAGGGACCCCGAGGGTGAAAAGGATCGTAACAGACATACTCGCGGAGTTGGGTTATGAAAAATACGCCGTAGTACAAAAAAAGTTGGTGACAACGAGGAAAAGGGAAGGATCCAGTGGTAGAGGAGGCCATTCAGGAGGAATGGGAAGAAGAAGAGTCGGTGCCCCAACACCTCTCGAAGGCGCTACGCAAACAGCGCAATTTAACACAGGGAGGTTAACACAGGGAGGGCAAGGTTAACACAGGGAGGGCAAGGCTCCGGAAAGGGGCAGGCGCCCCAAGCATTGGCAGTAGCCTCGCCCAGTACGTCGGCTCCATCAAGCAATGTAGGACCCTCGCAAGCGACGGTACCACCTTATGGGCAGTAGCCATGACCTGTGCTTAACACCTTCGTGCCATGGGGAGGTCCACCTCCGTCTGGACAGATGGTACCATACGTTGGGCCCCAAGCGAGTATGACGCTGCCAAGTTATCCTGCAGCGCAGGCCCAGCCCATGACACCACCTCCATCGCCCGCGCCAAGTTCACAAGGTAGCGTGGCAGGGGAATGGAGAAAAAGGCAGCGGAAGAGGACGAGGCTGGAATGGCGGTGGCCGAGGTGGACAATGAGACAACCAAGGCTACCAAGGCCCAGGGAGTCAAGGGAATCAAGGAGGTCAAGGATATGGAAGGCCTCGTTTTGATTGGAGAACCGCTATTTGTTAGCATTGTGACAATCAAGGTCACACAATACGGTTTTGCAACATAAGGCGGGAGGATGAGAAGGCCGGACCGATCTATTCCAATATGGACGGTGATATATAAGATCAGTACGGAGAGTATATTGACTGAAACGTTTCAGGCGGAGTAAGTGCGGAGACCCGGAGAAGGATAGCAGCGAGACAAGCACCACCTGCCACGTTCAGGTTGTAGCAGGAAAGGGATGACCCACCAATAAGGGTGGAAGAGGTAGAAAGTGATGAAGAGGTGACTCAGAGGCTACAGGCAGGAAGTATAAAGGAAGAGCCTATAGTCGTTGAGTCGGATGGGGAGGGTGAGGATGAGAAAGTGAAGCCAGCATCAATCCTTCTGGGGAAGATGGAGGACTTGTGGGGGGAAATAGGGAGATACCTGGTAGGTATATGCGAAGAAGTGAGGGAATGGAGGGTCGGTATCCCCAGAGTCTTCCTCTACGAATCCGGCCCAGAATCAGTACATGGACGACAAGGTTACCCTGGAGTAACCATTGTGGGGTCAGGGCCTCGGTCTGGAATGACCTTCAGGCCCCCTACTGTGCAAGGGAGAATGGCGCAAGTTGCGCAAACAAGGGGCCAGAATAAGGCAAGTGCCAGCAGAGAACCCCGTCGGAGAGAGCCAGAGTCAGACCGAAGGAAGGAGGCCGTGGAGGTAGAGGAGGACGACGATGAGGAAGAGTAAGATGAGAGTCTTCGCCAAGAAGAGTATCAAAGGGCGGAGCAAAGGGCCAAGAAGAGGGGAGCCCAGGAGGAAGTCGAGCCAGTTCTGCGCGACGCGGCGCCCAAGAAAAAAAAGTATGCGGTCCGGTTGGAGGAAGGGTTTGACGTGGAAAAAGTGATTGATAGGTTGCTTGAAGATCATAATTACCTTGTGACCTTGAAGGAGATTCTGGCATCTGCTCCTAAGCTCAGTAACGAACTGAAGGGAAGGTTTTCCCGGCGATTGGTGTCGAATGTCCATCTAAGCGTAATTCTGCTAAAGGAGGCAGAATGGGCGGAAACTGAGACAAAGATGGACTGGAAATGTGTGGCTTGAGAAATGGTGGATTTAGTGGTAAAAGGGTCGAAGTGCGCAACAATGGTGGACACAGGAGCAGAGATGAATATCATCAAGAAAGCTGATGCACTTAGATTCGGGTTGGATATAGACCGCTCATATTGCGGCATTCTGCACGGGGCAAATTGCAAGGCCGTATTTTGCGGAACGACGTCTAACGTGCTTATCGAAATCGGAAAAGTAAAGGCAGGAGCTTGCTTTTTCGTCATGCCTAACGTAGATCATGCCATCCTCTTGGGTAGGTCGTTCTTATGTAGGACAGAGACGTTGATGTTCAACAAACACGACAAAACTCTAATCCTGATCTTGTGTGACCCGGCGTGCGGAAATTATGAGATGATCACTTGCCGGAACATAGGCCCGCAAAGCATAAGGAACCGGTCCAACCTTGGTTCATTCACAATTGAAGAATCAGAGGACGAGCGTCGGAGGCTCCTTGAGGAATCAACAGAGGAGGCACAAGAGGAGGTGTTTTTCCTCAGCGTATCCGATGTGAACAAGGTCATGGATGTACTGGTCACACATGAGATGGCGGATCTAGACGCCATTCAGGCACAAAGGCAGCAGGTCCTGGAATGTCCCCAGGCTGGGGAAGTGGAGTTGGTCTATCGACTTCCAGGCGGAAGGAGGGGCCCTGCAATGATGCAGGCGCAAGCAGTAAGCCGGTTTTTTTTAGGGGACGGCTCAAGCAGGGTTCCCAAAGGCGGTATAAGACAATAGATAAGAAGTGTTGCCCAATTCGCGTTCTCATCACAAAAGATGAGGAGGTTTATTACGAACGGGAACGAGGATTGATACGACAAACGAGGGAGCAAGCGACAATTCGGCTATGTCATATCAATGAGGGAACGAAGGGAAGTTAATAGTGGGAGAGCCTGATTTCCTATTACCTCAGGAGAGGTTGCTTATGATAGAGCTAATGAAGAAGAGGCATCGCGCCTACGCTTTTGATGACGATCAGCGCAGAAGATTGGATGTAGATAAGATTTCTATAATCCGGATCCATACCGTGCCACACGAGCCATGAAATTTAAGAGGGGCACGGTATCCTAATCCTGACGAGGAGAAGAAGATGGTGGACTATCTCGACGGCAAGATACGTACGCATGTCGTCGATTACTCGAGTGTACCGTATGCCTCTCTGTGGTTTTGCTATGTCAAACCTAATGAGACGTTGCGGTGGGTGCAGGACTTGCAGCGGTTGAACGTTGTGACTGTGCGAGATGCGGGGGGCTTGTCAAATGCCGACTCACTGTCAGAATCATGTGCTGGGAGACCTATAATTTCGCTATAGACCTCTTTCTACATATGACCAGTTTTTTGTCTATTCGCCAGACAGGTCAGTGATAGCTATGCATACGCCCCGAGGATTGATCCACATGAGTGTGGCTCCGCAAGGATGGACTAATGCGGTGGCAATGGTTCAACGGCATATGATTCGAGCCATGCAGTCAGTCAGCCCGCATATCACCCAGCCATATATCGATGACTTGGCGGTAAAAGGGCCGAGAGAGAAGAGGAATGATGAAGTCTTGCCAGGAGTAAGACGTTTTGTCTGGAAGCATGTTCAGGATCTTGATAAAGTCCCGGGTTTGCTTGAAGAGCACAACCTTACGGCAAGTGGTGCCAAGTTTAGACACTGCATGAGGGAGACTACCATCCTGAGGTTCGTCTGTAGCGGGAATAACCGTCGACCAGATGTAAAGAAGACGGACAAAATTGTGAATGGTCAGTACCATTCCACTCAATAACAGATGTTAGGAGCTTCCTCGACACGTGTGGGTTTTGGAGAACCTTCGTCAAGAACTTTGCCGCCAAGACTGGGCATTTGAGAAAGTTGGTTCGTCAGGACCATAAATGGATCTGGGGTGAGGAGCAGGAGAAGGCGGTGACTAAGATGAAGGAGGAGTTTCGAGAAGAAGGGCTGGTATTGGGAGCACCGGACTATGAGGCCACAAAGGTGAGGCCATTCATCGTTGAGACGGACGCTGGACCGGCTGCCCTAGGGGGAGTCCTGATTCAGACAGATATCGAGGGGAAGGAGAGACCACTAAGGTTCGAGGGCCGAACTCTTTGTACGATTGAGATAAATTACTTTCAGTTTAAGAGAGAGACTCTTGCAGTCCTCCACCGCCTGAGGATTTTTCAAAATTATATGTTTGGCGGAAGGTTCATATTGAGGGTAGACCCAGTTGTGCTTGCTTATTCGCTGAGAATTACGTTCCATCGGATCCAATTGTCGCCAGATGACTGACATACATCTGGATATTTATTTTCGAATTGAAACGGATTCCAGGGGATAAGAATAGAGCAGATGGGTTAAGTCGCATCAACTGGGATAAGCAAAAGGGAAAGGCAATAGAGGACACACCCCCGGTTGATGGCTTTTTGGATCAAGAGGAAGACGTTCGCCTTCATATTAACAAGTGGTCTCTGCGGGTGCCGAATGGCGTTGGCCATCTCATATGGCTTGTACCCAGGGGATATGAGCAAAGAGCAGAGTTGGTGCTCAAACCTTTTGAGGAAGAGGACCCATAGGCCGACAAGGATGTCCAGCGGATGATGAAGTTAACGCTAGTAGGCACACATAATCTGGTGGAACAATTGAGAAGAATAGAAGAAGGGTCGGACCAGGTAGAGAAGCACGAGGAGTTGATGGGGGGAATGTACCTTCTCGTCAATACGCTTCTGCAAGGAAATTTTGATAAAGTAAGCACGCTGAATCCGGCTGAGAATGAAGATATTGTGCCAGAGAACCCGGACGACGAGTTTGAGGAAGGGGAAATCAAAGAAGCGTTCCGTGCAGAGGAGTATGATAGGATCTACCTAGAGCTGGGACTTTTCTTATCAAGTGAGATGCCGGATAGGGATGTCAGCGAAAGGGCTCAAAAGATGAGGCATCTCTACATAGTGAGAGATTGTCATCTTTTTGTAAAGAGGCAAGTAGGACGTCCCTGAAGGGTTGTATGCGGGAAGAACCGTCAGATCGACGTTATAGTCGCGCTTCATGATGACATTGTAGGAGGGCATCGAGGAGTTAATGCCACATATGCCAAAATAAGCGAGCTATACTACTGGGATGGGATAATGGAGATGATCAGCAAGTTCTGTCATTCCTGTATACTTTGTCAAGAAAGGGCTCCTTAGAGGCGAGGAGAGTCGTTGCATCCAAGGTTAGAAAAGGAAGTGGGTGTCGTAGTACATCTCGACTTACTGTTTATGCCGATTGGGGATCATGGGTACAATTACATCTTCGATGCGCGAGACAACCTTTCTGGCTTTGTAGATGGTCGCGCCATTCATACAAAGATCGGCTAAGTGTTGGTAAGCTGCATCGAGGAATACTACCTGCGTTATCCCTTCGTCAAGGAATTCGTTATGGATAGAGGATCAGAGTTTACTTGCCAAGAGGTGCAAGAGTTGTTTTCAGGATATGGCGCGGTAGCCAATTCTACCACGGCGGCACATCCTCAGGCAAACGCTCCAGTTGAGAAGGGGCATAGCACCATCACAATTTTTTTGGCTAAGTGGACTGAAGGTAGGCCTAATCAGTGACCAAGATACTTGAGGGCGGCGTTTTTTCTCGAGAACATTACGGTAAAAAGGACCACTAAGTACGCGTCAGCCACACTATGGTACGGAAGGCATGCTACTTTCCCAATTGAGAGCTTCTTGAAAACCTGGAGATGTCAAAACTTAAAAACCAACATGTCCTTCGAGGAGTGGCTCGATATTCAGGCGCGGCACGTGGGTGCGATTGAGGAAAGGATTCAGGAGGCGTCCGACCAAGTGGAGAAGAGCCGCATGGATGATAAGGCTCGTTGGGATCAGTTGGCCCGGGGGGATGTCGTATTGTTATATGACTCATCCCTAGAGAAGCAGTGGTCCAGAAAGCTCGACAAAAGGTGGTTAGGGCCATATCGGGTTGTAAGATGTGGGGATTTCGGCGCATATCAATTTGAGGAGCTGGATGAAACAGAGTGGAAGGATTGGGTATCAGGAACGAGGCTGAAAAAGTTTGTGGCAAGAAAAGAGGTGAGACAGGCGATCTAACTTTTTTTTTGTAGGACCCTATGAATGTAGAAAAGGTTGGTAGTTAAGTCCTAGAAGGGCGTGGGTGATAAAATGTGTGGACTGGATGGGTGTGTTTGGTTTGGCCTGGGTCTGTTCTGTTTCACCTGTTTGCTTACCCCAATGTGTGTCTGTCGTCTCCTTCGCCTATTATGCAGGTCTGACTTTACGAAGACAGCCATGCTGAGAGGAGGGAGGGGGACGCGGCCACCACGGAGGCCATTGGGAGCATCAGGGGGTTACGAGCGGCATAGGTCTCACCGGAGGGAGCACACGCTCGTGTATGATGACGGGGATATAGAGCTCTTCTTGGACGAGTTTCGGGGATATACGGAGCACATGAGGTGGACAGTGGCAGAGAGGATAGAGAGGTTAAGGGGAGTTGGCCGATTTGAGGAACCCATCGCACGGATTCGCAGAGAGGCGAGGACTTGGCTAGAGGTAGAGTTAAGGATGCAGGAGTTGAGGTCATCGCCCGTGGGTCTAGACGGTGTGTCGATCCACCTAGAGATTGAGAATGTGGAGGAGTTCATCCTTGCTTTTGAGCATTTCATACACGAGCAGAACATATTGAGGGATGAGTGAGCGCAGACACTACCTCTATGGACCAGGAAGATCGAGAGACCATTGGCCCGTCAGATCAGGGATATGGCTCGAAACTGGGAGAGTTGCAGGGCACACCTGAAAGAGGTTTTTCGACGACCAGAGCCACCTCAGCCTAGGGTTGAGAGGCGGCAGAGAAGCAAGAGGCAGAGGGACCCTGGGCCTAGAGAGGTCGTGCCATCTCAAGGAGGATGGAAGACACTTGTCAGGCGGGAAGAGAAGTCAGTACCTGAGGCTGAGGGGCGATGAGCATATCCTGAGTGTGGACTTGGTCTAGTGATTTTTCAGCGGTTTACTGGAGAGGGATTGAGAGGCTCCCCTCAGCGCGTACGGGAGGATGTGCCACCATCCGGAGGGCCATTGCAGGAGTTGGAGGCGGACCTGGACATATCGTGATGGAGGGTGCCTCAGGCTAACGAGAGGTGTGATGAGCCGGTTGAAGGTGTGACACGAGAGGAGGTCCCTGAGCCACGACGAGAGGTGGAACGAGGTGCTCAGGGTGGGGGAGTGATGGAGGAAGTGATAGAGGTTGGAAAGGATACTCCGCCTCTGACGCCTGCTCCAGAAACCGAGTCGATTTGGGAGGAGAGGTAGAGATTAGAGGCGGTAGGAACACTCCTAGATCAACCATCTGGCGCACTCTCTATACCATATGGGGTCAAGGAGATGTGGGATGAGTTTTGGGGCCAGTATGGCGAGGGGTTGGCGGCTTCAGAGAGAGCAGGACTCGGGACATCGAGGACGGCGGATGAGTATTTGGACCGTAAGATCCGCTTCCTGGCCAAGACTTCTTTCAATAGGTATCTGACGTTATAAGATGATCTGGCCGGAAAAAAAACGAAGGAAGTGAGTCATGGAGTGCGTTTGGAGTCAAATTGCCATTATCTAGGACTTGAGGCATCAACCTCGAGATATGGCGACCGGAATGGAGAGGGAGGCACCTACTAGAGTGGGGGATTGGACTGAAAGTAGACACTATGACATCCAGAGTGAGGCAATGCAGGGTTTATTTGGGCAACCATCTATGGCAGGTCCATCCCATGAGCCATCCATTAGAAGGGTCATCCTGGAGCCAGAGGAGGCAAAGGCGAAGAGGGAGGCAAAAAAAGAGGCCTTTGAGTTTCAGACGCCTATAGATCTTGCCACCCAACCTATAGCTTCTTCTAGGCTAGCGGCAGAGTCTGTGCATGTACAAGCAGGGGATAGGTCGCGGACAGGTGTCAGCGAGCCTGCATTTGGATCTGACGAGGGGTCCATGAATGTACTCCTTGAGGCAATCGACATTATGCAGGAAGAGGCAAGCCTGTTTTCGCCAAAGCAGAGGGTGGAGAAGCCTTATGAGGGAGAGACAGTGGTTGTGATGGAGGATGTCGTCGAGGGCAGACCACAGAGGTTAGATACACTTGAGTACAGGCCTGAGAAGGCAAGCCTGTTTTCGCCAAAGCAGAGGGTGGAGAAGCCTTATGAGGGAGAGACAGTGGTTGYGATGGAGGATGTCGTCGAGGGCAGACCACAGAGGTTAGATACACTTGAGTACAGGCCTGAGAAGGCAAGCCTGTTTTCGCCAAAGCAGAGGGTGGAAAAGCCTTATGAGGGAGAGACAGTGGCTGCGATGGAGGATGTCATCGAGGGCAGACCACAGAGGTTAGATACTCCTGAGTACAGGCCTGAGGGAGTTGGAATACGGATAGAGCCGAGTACGCAGAAGTAGGAGACGAGACATGAGGAGCCTATGGGTATGCCCCAATACCATGAGGTGGCCAGGGAGGCTAGTGAGGCACCCTCATTGCCGGGATCTCAGAAGAGAAAGAAGAGGGGCCGAAAATCGGGAGACTTGTCCTACTTCTTCTGCAAGGATGGAGAGCATAGGACCTTGCAGTGTCCTAAGTTCCTGAAGGACAAGGCAGCAGGGAAGGTTACTAAGAGTGGTGGAAGGATGTACGATAGGCAGGGTCGAGTGGTCGAGCGGATTGTCGATGGAGGTAGAGCTCAGTTGTACAGGCAGAACCAGGAGGAGATGAGTGAGTAGGAACTGGTTCGCCTATGTATCAATAGCCACTATGACATAGCGAGATTGAGAGGGGTGTGCATTCTGAGTCAGATTTAGTTTTTATCTTTGTTTTGTTCTTGTCCTATTAGAAGTTTGGGTACCTACGCTATTGGATGTATATATAGGGGAATACAGAGTATGGTTGCCATTGAGGCTCTTATTAGTGACATGAGGATCAGGATTTAGGAAGATCTCATGTGTATGTTGAGGATACCCTATCCCTGACTCATTGAGGATTCAGTTTTTGTTTCAGGATATTTTTGGCAAGTACGATCAGTCTTGTACCATATTTGTGAGGGTTTTGTTTGGTACGAGTGAGTTGCGGATCTGGACTATTACTTGTGTGTTTGAATGAGATATTCCATCCCTTAGTGTGCCTTGAGTTGAAACCTATCAGAGACTATTCCCTTGTATATGACGATCACAATCACTCTCACATGTGTGGTTTTATCATGATGTATGATGGTTTTGTGTGAGAGATATATGAGAAACATCTCGTGCTTGTATTGTGTATTTTGTGAATGTAAATGAATGTGAATTGTCTACTCTTCGGTATACTCGTGCGATCTGCCAATGGGCGGATGACAGAGATGAGCAACAGGTACCCAGACCTACACCCACCCACACCCACCCCACCCACAAGGCATTGGGTCGGGTGTGGGTTTTGATAAGTTAGCATGGGTAGGATGAGGGTGGGTCAAGGCGAGCAAGCCTGGGTGGGTCAATATTAGGCCAGGGTCACCCGAATGGGTAAGTGACAAGTGGGTGAACGCTAGGTCTGGGTCACCCGACCCACAAACCCAGGACAACCCATAAGAACCCTCCCCCTCCCCTCCACCCCCACCCCCCACCCCCCACTCGGGTGAGTTGGGTCGCCTTGAGATTTTTTTTTATTTTTTTTTAGGGCGGGTGGTTCTTAAAAAATTATGGGCGGGTTGGGCGAAGTGTCAATTCAAAAAACAAATGTTCATCTCTGGCAGATGATAGGGTCGGGTATAAGGAGAGGGAGTGCAACCTGTTTTTGTTAAAAGTGTGAGAATCCTAAGGGATTTATGAGTCTTTGAGACTTGAATGCTTACCATGTCAAATATTTATTGTTGAGTTGTGATGAGAACGCATAAGTTGGTCACTCGGTTTGAGTTGTTTTATGGTTGAGACACCTTCGAGTGAGAAGGCAGTCTTGTGCTTATTTGAAAGACTCATCTTCAGAGAGGAAAAATGTTTTAAAAGAAAGGTCGTGAGAAAGTTCATCCTAGAGCGAGAGGGATGACTGGGAGACCTATTGAGTGAGACATCCTTCATATGAAAGGTGGTTAATAAATTTAATGGCATGACAAGTTGATTCTGAATGATAAAGACTAACGAGAAGGACCACGTTTGTGTTTGGCCATTGGTGAAATTTTGGAGGTCGCAAGAGTGATTTATTGGGAAGATGTCACTGAGATGTGACTTTCTTGCTCTGATCAAGTAGGGAGGTCACGACCTTGTGAATCTGGCGGTGATTTTGTTTTGTGAATGTGAAGAGGTTGCTGTATTCTCTATGTTGTCTCACAGAGGACTGGTAAATACCTTTTATGTGTAGCAGACCTTTGCGTAATCCCGCAATAGGCATGTATTGTTACGACACACCGTCCAACCACTTGTGTTAATCTTAGGGCATTTATGAGAATACCAAGCTAACGGTAAAGTTTCGCATCACTAGGGCGCAACCCCTAGTGTCAGTTGTTGATTGGCGTAACCTGAACAGCGGACCTACGTCTTGCCGAGGGAGTAAAGACTTAAAGCGGTGTGGCCACCTAGGAGGGTTTTACTCATGCGGAACGACATGGGATAAGAGTCGAGTCAATGGAGTCGTCTTTGAGTCCTGATTGAATGCTTATCAGGAGAAAATCTATCGTGGCGCAACCTGTGAGGACACTATCGCTAAAATAACAATGCGGTGGGTCGTAGATCTGGCATGATCACCCAGACTATGGTGGGTCAAGATGGGGACCTGACCTTCCTGTACTAGACTGCATGAAGGGTCTAGGATAGGATTTATGTATTTATATATGTTTGATTGTGAGGATTGTTTGGGAGGGAGGCGAGAATGTCTTCAAAGGTCTCGGTTAGGGTCCACGTCCCTAGTTATGGCCCTACTTGCAGGGTAAAGACTATAAACACTTAACGAGAAGCCGACGTTTGTCTATGATAAAGGCGAGAGGATAGTGAAAAGGTCATTGGAACTTATGTTGTAGTATAGATCCAGTGTCCCGGCGTCCTAATGACAGGACAATGGAGACCCAAGTTAGAATCCTGACAGCATACAGTTGTGTTGGCATGATTTGATGGCTAATCGGATTAGTCGGATAATTGGATTCTGTCGGCTAATCGGATTAGTTCCTTTCTCGTGAACATTTAGAGTTGGATGGACTTATAGCTTTTTGATTTTACGAAGTGACTGGACGTCGCTTAATATGGTTCGGTAAGTTATCGGTGCGAATACCCTTACAAGGGTATCCGCCCTGATTTTGCAACTAACTGAAAATAAGTTTGATTTAGAGTTTAAGTATACCGCGCGTGGTGTTGCGGTGTCTGAGGTTTACGTTGACTGGATGGTTGACTAAAGTAGATAGTGTGTGGGCACGCAGACTTAAGGCGCGCTTGATTTCTTTTGCTTTGATGATTGTGGAAACCGGCAGTGGTCGTCGACCTGATTTCTATTCTTCTGATTAAACTAGGACTAAAAAAAAATTGTCTCATGATTGATGCGCGTGCTTGTGACTTGTGCGTACGCGCAGAGGACGGCATCGACAACAATGTGATTTTGAAAACAGTTCGGTAGGTCTGCACGTCGCACAGTATTGATTTATTCAGGTTTCCGTCAGAGTTAGACCCAGCAGTAGATGCGGTACCGGACTTAGGGGTCGTCACGACAGTTGAGGACCTTGCGCGTGCCCTCCTTCTGGTTGACTTACTAGTTCTTACGTGTTCGGGGTGCCAGTGAAATTTCCTTACCCTGTTTGACTTAAAACGCGGGGCATCAGAGAAGCGAGAACGGACTACGGGTTGAGGGTCCGGCGAGGTCATCCCCGTGGTTTTGCGATTCACAAGGTTAGGCGTCAGGACCAAGGCGGTATTAATGGGCCCCGCATTCCCCTTTTCCTCGTCCGTTCCCCTTCTCCTTGCCCGTACAACTCATGTTCCGCAATTATTATTTCATTATTATTATTATTTATCTTTATTCTTAGCACGGCGAGGCACCAATTTTTTAACTAGCGAAACTCCTCTACCCAATCCGTTTTAAAACACAGACCGAGGGGTCCAGTGTGCGGACGAACCAGTGAGTGTTGTTGCAGGGTCAACGCATTCCCACTCGCGGCAATGTAAGGGTTGCCCCGATGACTGAACATAGCAGGGCGAGGAGTGCTATGATGGGAACATGGGATTGGTACTGATGTCTGTACCCATGAGCTGTTGAAGTACGGGTCGGAATTCAAATGGAACGAGAAAGAGGAGGGCGGCTTGCTTTGAGCAAGGCGGATGGAGACATTGTGAAGACTGCAACAGATGTTGACTTATAGCCCAATCGTCAGACTCAAATATAGGAGGGCAAAAGACTATTCAAACCATCCAGGTGCTGGTACCCTCCGAAGCTTCTCTCGGATAGCTGGAATTGTAGAAGTCGCCGCCAGTAGGAGGCCTACCTGTTCGTTGATTGGCAGTGTATCTCCCACCAATCTCCGAAAGATTCATGCGTCTTTACTCTTCCTATCGAAAAGTAGTACGAAGTGGTCGTAGGGGCGCAGGCTTGCCCACTGCGTTATGTTGCTGCTGGTCCATCAAACGAAGAAAGTGTATGGACAACCACGGGGATTGAAAGCTTACCCGACGACGGTCCGCTAGAGTGAGATTAGCGGCGAGGTCGGAGACTTACCTGTTGATGGGTCTCTGTAAGCTGCACGTCGGACGGAAATCGCGTTGCGTTGTTGTTCCTTTGCGTTAGTAGTAGGAAGAAGCGGGGAGCGAAGCAATGACTGAGAACAGGGTGGCAGAAGGGAGAGAGGGATGTCGCGCTCGTTATTGATGAAATAGAGCGGGAGGATGTGGTAAGCAGAGATTTCGGGAATGAGCGAGTGCGAATCTACAGTCAGTTTTGATAGAAAGTTAGTAAGTTTAGAATTAAAGAAGAAAAGTGTCGCGCAGAGATGGCCGGGAAAGAAAAGAGGGAAGGCGGGAAGCGCATACCTTGTGCGTTTCCGAACGAATTTCGGCAAAGTAAAAGTCGAAGTTATGGGTTTAAGGTAGGGCGAATTTAGTAGGGATGTTAGTTTTGAAAGAAAGTTGGTAAACAAGAAGTTAGTAGAGGTAGGAGAGATGCTTGGCTATGGTGCAAGCAGGATCGAGCGGGAGTAAAGATTGATTGGCATGGCCGTTTTCTCGGTCGTTCTTGGTAAGCAAAGGTAGGATCCCAGAGTTATTAAATAGGGCGACTTCGACTATGGGGCTAGATTTAGAGATTCGTAGGCGGATTCGTTAGCATATGAGAGAACGAACTGTGTGGGCTCTATGGGAAGGTTGAAGATTTCGACGGATGTAGCAAAAGGTTCATCCAACTTTCGATCGCTCCATTGATCAGAGGAGCAACAAAGGAAACGAAGCAACAAGATGGATGACTTACTTTGTTGAGGTGGTCGTGTGTGATCGTGAACGTCACTATCTTTGT